GTGCCTGAGACTCTCTGAATTCCGACCAGAAATATGCATATGATGAGATCATGAGGCACGTAGACGAGGATTGTCCAGGAGTGTTCTTTATAGATGGTCCGGGTGGAACCGGGAAGACTTTTTTGTACAAAGCTTTGCTTGCCAACATCCGTTCACGTGGTCTTATTGCTCTCGCAACBRCTTCGTCGGGTGTTGCTGCCAATAATATGCCTGGAGGGAGAACAGCTCACTCTATATTCAAAATTCCTCTGAACCTTGATAATAACTCGATGTGCAACATAAGAAAACAGAGTGGGGCTGCTAAATTGATTCGAGATGCAAAAATAATCATATGGGACGAAGTGTCGATGGCAAAGAGTCAGGCGGTGGAGGCGCTCGATCGAACAATGCGAGACATCATAGGGGTGGCACTCCCATTCGACAGAAAGATAATGGTTTTGGGGGGTGATTTTAGACAAGTATTACCGGTCGTGAGGTGTGGAACCCGAGCACAGATTGTAGATTCTAGCTTGCGGATGTCACCTCTTTGGGCAACGATTAAAAAGATACAGCTAACGCTCAATATGAGAGCACGTACTGATCCATGGTTTTCGGAATTTTTACTAAGAGTCGGTGATGGAGATGAATAAGCGGTGGACGAAAGCTTTATTCGTATACCAGATGACATGTCCATTCCCTATGCTGATAAAGGTAAGTCAAAAGATGCGCTGATTGACGCGATCTTTCCATCTCCACAAATCAACGGGGCTAATTCAGATTATATCATTTCAAGGACGATATTGTCAACTAAAAACGAGAATGTCGACGAGATTAATGATCAGTTGATYGACAAGTTTTCTGGAGATGAAAAAATATACTACAGCTTCGACGAAGCAGAAGATGATAAGAACAACATTTATCCGATGGAGTTCTTAAATTCTTTAACTGTTAATGGTTTGCCTCCTCATTACCTTCGTCTCAAGATCGGATGCCCAATAATACTGTTACGAAATATCGATCCCTCGAATGGATTGTGTAATGGCAGTAGATTGATATG